CCGCCACCGCCGCCGCCACCGCCGCCGCCACCGCCGCCGCCACCGCCGCCGCCACCGCCTCCCGGATCGCATTCCGCCGCGCTCGGGTAGCCGGCCCGCCCCAGGCCCCGCCCGAGCCCCGCCCCTCTGTCAGCACAGCCAATGAGGAGAGGACTTGTCGGCTGTTGCTTTTCCATTGGCTTTCTATCTGGCTCCGCCCTCCGCGCACGGCCCCGCAGCGGCTTCCGGCGGAACTGCCGCAGCTTCCGGCCGGCCAGGCGCATTGGAAGCCGCGGAGCTCGGTCGCGGTCGCGCGTGCTTTGGGGGCGTGCCGGTGGGAAGTCGCGGGGCCGGAGCTCGCGGAGCTGACTTGGGCGAGTGCGGTGAGGAGGGGCGAGCGGCGGCGGCGGCAGCCGACCGGAGGGGGCGAGGTAGGGCGCCATCCCTTCCCTTTTCGGCTTCCGCTGGGCCTGGGAGTGGAAAAAAAAACCCTGGTTAGTGGGTTTTTGGGTGGGCGGAACTAATACACAGAAGCTTGCAGAGTTTTAAGTGTCGGTGGGGAGTGGCTTGAGACAGGTCTCGTACCCCGAACTTGTGTGACCCCAGTCTGTTTCCTCCGCAGCCTTCACCCGGTGTAGAGAGCCCTGCTCAGCCCGTCTCCCCGGGATTCCTTTCTCTTTCCGAGGTAGCCATGGATGCTTCCACTCCTCTGCCTCCCGCACCCCCGTCTCCGAGGTGCAACCCAGCCCCCCAGACAATCCACATTGAGTTCTCTCATCATAGCTCTTCCCTGCTGGAATCCCTGAACCGCCACAGGCTGGAGGGAAAGTTCTGTGATGTCTCCCTCCTGGTTCAGGGCAGGGAGCTTAGGGCTCACAAAGCCGTGTTGGCTGCTGCCTCTCCGTACTTCCATGACAAGCTGCTTTTGGGAGATGCGCCCCGGCTCACTTTACCGAATGTCATCGAGGCGGATGCTTTCGAGGGACTGCTGCAGCTCATTTATTCCGGAAGCCTCCACCTGCCACTGGATGCTCTCCCTGCCCATCTCTTAGCGGCGAGTGGCCTTCAGATGTGGCAGGTAGTGGATCGGTGCTCAGAGATTCTTCGAGAACTAGAAACGTCTGGTGGAGTTTCAGCTGGCGGAGGCCCCTCCAACCTCACACTTCTTTCCACAACGTCTTCGGGAGGCTGGTGCATTCGTTCTTCCTCTTTCCAGAACCCTGTACGGTCCTCTGCTTCTACAGAGAATTCTGCTTCTCCTGAGAGCCCCGTTGGAGAGAAGGGGAGTGAACTAGAAGGAATGTTACAGATTCAGGTGAAAGTAGAAGAGGAAGAGGAGCAGGGGTCAGCCGACCCGCTCTTTCAGACTCCTCAATCTGAGAGTGTGTCAGAAGGGGTTTCCCAAGCTTGTGAATCCCACCCAATGCCTACATCTGTTCTTCCCAGCAAGCCTTCAGTGGATGAGAACTCAACACTTGATCCTCCTGCCCCTCCTGTACAAGCTTCCCAAATCTTATATGTTAATCAGGAAAACGTGGAGTGTAAGGAGGAGATACCAGGAGGCAGGACTCGGTCTGGAGGAGCAAAAGAAAAAAACAAAGTACTATCTGGAGAGGACTCTGAGGGAAAGGGGGAGCTAAAATACTTGCTGTCCTCAGGAGGAGGGGAAACGTCTGGGGCAGGAGATCCCTCCTGGAAACCTGTGGATCTTCATGGGAATGAAATCCTGTCAGGGAGTGGAGGACCTGGAGGGACGGGGCAGGCTATGCATGGGCCTGTGAAGCTAGGAGGGACGCCCCCTGCCGATGGAAAGTGCTTTGCCTGCCTCTGTGGGAAACGGTTTGCGGTAAAGCCAAAGCGAGACCGGCACATCATGTTGACCTTCAGCCTTCGCCCTTTTGGATGTGGCATCTGTAATAAACGTTTCAAGTTGAAGCATCACCTGACAGAGCACATGAAGACCCACGCTAGAGCTCTGCACGCGTGTCCCCACTGCGGCCGGCGGTTCCGCGTCCAGGCCTTTTTCCTTCGCCACCGGGATTTGTGCAAGGGTCAGGGCTGGCCCACTTACCACTGGACTTACAAATGACTACTGGTGCTCCGGAGTGAGTCCTAGGACAAGATAGCCACTGCTGCTGATGGACTCTTACCTTTCACCACCTCAGACCTGGGCTGTGTCATCATTCCAAGAGATTATATGCGTTATGTTACGAACCCCTTATTTTTGGGTATGGGTCTCACCATGCTGTATTTGGAAGTCCGGGTTTAAACAGACTAGGAAAGTCATGTTTCTGATCCCTTAACCTAAATGGCCCTTTTTGTGTTGATAGCCAGTGAAGGAACTGCTGACCTCAGATTATATCAGTGAGAGAAGAGTTGAAGCAAAATGGCCCAGTAACTCTTACCTCATCTTCACGGGGTGGGGAGGGAGCTGGTCTCTACGAATACATTTGGTCCAGAGCTCAAGTAACTGCCAGACTCAGCTCTGAGAAGCCTCTCCCTCACAGCAGTATTCTGTTTCTGAACGTTCTGTCATTTCTTTCCAGATGCTTTTTAGGTTGTACTCTGTGTTTCTCACCAGTAGACACCTTTCCCGAGTATTCCTTTGAAAAATACATGAGCAGGGCTGGAGAGATGGCTCAGTGGTTAAGAGCACTGTCTGCTCTTCCAAAGGTCCTGAGTTCAATTCCCAGCAACCACATGGTGGCTCACAACCATCTGTAATGGGCTCTGATGCCCTCTTCCGGTCTGCAGGCATACATGCAGACAGCATTCATACATTTAAAAAAAAATGTACTTGAACATACAACAGGTGTGGTGCACACATTTAATCCCAGGAGGCAGAGGCCTTGGATCTCTACAAGTTCAAGGCCAGGCAGGGCTATACACGGTGAGACCCCATCTTTAGGGGGAAACTAGTACTTGAGCACTTTAGCCAGCTGAGCATTTCATGTCTTTCTGAACGTCCATAGCAGGGGATCCCCTCAGCAGCCTTCTTTGTCCACCCTTCACTACCACTGACAACCTGCTTATGATCACAATGACAGATGTGACCCATGAACTCAGGAGATGGCAGCTGACCTACAACGCTCTCGGGGTGTCATTTGGTCTCTGAACAAATGGCCCCCTGCTTAGAGGAACTCAGGGTTGAAACCACACATGGTGAAGTCTGCAGAGGAGCTACAGTGGGACCATACTGCTTTCTTTTCCATCATTCCCACACGCTGTAGAAACATCACCTTTGTAGAGGTAGGGGGGTAGATAGTAGAATGGAGGTGAAGGGAAATTTAAAGTCATTAATAAACTCTGTCCTGAAAGCTAAACTGACAGTAGACTGGATTGAGTGATTTGTGCGGAAGAGGCGTGCAAGTATGGAGCTGCAGGCGATGAGTGTGTACCTTCTGCAGCCAGTTACACTGATGGAAGAATGAGCTGGCTTTACAGAGCCATCCCGGAGAGCGCTATCCCGAACCCAGGCCCTGCTGTTGCTGAGGAACCTCAGGTAAGTTACTTTACGTCTCAGAGTCTGACCTGCTACTGCTTGGCTCTCTGTCTTGGTTTGTTGAGACCTTGTCTTACTATCTAGCCCAGACTAGCCTCAAAGTCGTGATCCTCCTTCCTCAGCCTGTGGAATACTAGGATTACAAGGACATACTGACATGTCTGCCTTATGTCCACTTTGGCTTTGGATCACATAATACTAGTTTAAATTATTCCCTAATTTCTTGTAGTATGCATGGTGTCGGATGGCACTTTGATTTATTCTAGGAATACTTAGAGCAGTGTGCTAGCCCTGGTTTTCCCTCACTGGGACAATGTCTCAGAATACATGCACTCACTGCCCAAACATGACCTGAGTTCAGATCCTAGCACTCATGGGAAAAAGCCAGGTGTCGGGCTGACAAGAGGGTTTAGCAGGCACCTACTGACAAGCCTGACACCTTGAGTTTGCTCCTCAGAACCCACATGGTAGAAGGAGAGAACCTGCTGGGGGCCACAGGGCAAACCGCACCCGCACAGGAGGTAAGGAGTGGGTGAGGGGAAGGAGGGAGTCAGGCACAGGAGGTCCAGGGAATTACACAGCTCTCACTGACTAGCAATCGGGGGCCTCTATATAGGTTTCACAGAACACAGGCGAGTTAATAATGATTATCCAAGAAGTACAATTTTTCACTACATGTCCAGGGTTACAAGTTAAGTCACAACTAGAAAATACAAACAGAACAGATTTTAATGTATCTATTTCTGTATTTATTTTGGTTTTTCGAGATAGGGTTTCTCTGTGTAGCCCTGACTGTCCTGAACTCTGTAGACCAGGCTGGCCTCTTACTCAGAGGTCCACCTGCCTCTGCCTCCAAGGTGCTGGAATTAAAAGGTGTGGGCCATCATTACCTAGCATCTTGTCTTGGTTTTTTGTTGTTTGGTGGTGGTTTGATTGGTTCTGGTGCTAGGGATTGAATCTAAAACCTCACATTTGGAATTAGGAATCTCACAAGTGAGCTACAAACTCAGCTGAATCTTGTTCTTGTGGCACTAGACTGAAAAAGTTTTCAGGCGAGTGTAGGCTTAGATTTTTTCAAAGCCTACTTTAGTAAGGTTTCCTAAATGCTTTAGCCTCCCTTCTAGCAGAGGTAGTGGGAAGGAAATGTTAGTTGGCTAAAAGGGGGATGTGTAACTGTTTAGGAATAGTTTTTTCAGGGAATTCCAATCTTTGTCAGGATGTTGCCAGTTCAGTTCGTAGGAATCAGCAGCTCCACCCCACTCACAAACAGCATTCACACATCAGCAATGGCGGTTTGATCCAGAAAAAACCATGAGGCTCTGCCAGTTGCCTCAAGACTATGGAAGTGGCAAGAGCTACCAGACGTTCTCTGGAGTGTTTCTCTCTACAAACTCATAACAAGCAATGACCGGAGAAGAAGGCAAGGCTAACCAATGCCTCAGCATCCTCAGTGGAAACCAGCATCAGCAAAGCCCAAGGAAGACCTGCAAAGATTGGCAAGGTGAACCAACGCCACACAGCGTCATCCATGGTCTGTTGGGTTATACTTATAGTCTTTCCAAACCTGTGCCTTCTTAAGTGTCCGCTCTAGCAAAACATCACATGCCCTTTTTCCAGGCAGCTTTCAGAAAAACACCATGTGCCCACAGCAAAACACCCTCCCACCTGTCTGAGCAAAATATCCTCTCCTAAGACAGTTTCCAGAAAACCATCACATGATACAACTGAGCCTCCAAAGAAACCAGAAGTTCCCCCTTTAGGTGTGGGTTGGGGATGTAAGTTCGTGGTAGATACTTGCCTAGCAGGTACAGAAGATCCACAAAATAAGTCAATCTCAACCAAACCGTCAGGTTCATACCTATGCTTAGCTATAGCACCTTATCCACAGCTCAGTGTGACTGAAGTCTGGAAAGAAAAAAGATGAAGTCAGCCGGGCGGTGGTGGCGCACGCCTTTAATCCCAGCACTTGGGAGGCAGAGGCAGACAGATTTCTGAGTTCGAGGCCAGCCTGGTCTACCGAGTGAGTTCCAGGACAGCCAGGGCTACACAGAGAAACCCTCTCTCGAAAAACAAACAAAAAAAGATGAAGTCTTGAGCAGAAGAGGGAAGAACATATATAGGTTAGCAGAGACCCACTGAAGACCTGTGACCCATCTGGGATGCCTTAAAACCTCTAATGTAGAACTGTTTAATCCTAAACTGGGGTTTCTACCCTGCCTTTAAGCATTCAGTTCCCAGATAAAACACACACACACACCCTTTATATGTATAATAAGCCTTAATCAGCACAAGAGCTGGGCAGATATCTACCCGCTACGCTATTATGCCTATTTCCAGCCAATAATCCTATTATATAATTTGCCGTGTTTCGTCTGGGCTGCTCTTAACTCCAATTAGCCAACCCACATGGCCATCATTTTAAGATTCTTATCCCGTGACAGCTTCTCTGTATCACCTCTCTCACCTGATGGTTCTCCTGACTCCAAGCCCAGGAACTCTAAACCCCACCCATGTCTCTTCCGCCCAGCTGTTTGCTGTCAGCATCTTTATTCACCAAGCAAGGATAACTTGGGGGGCAAGGTCACACACCATCACCTGGGTCTACATGTGGTCTCTGGGAGCAACCAGTACTTAGGCTAGCAAAACACCTCAGTATATGTGACATTTACCTGAGTATTGAAGAAAGATTGAGCCTGCTCAGCTATCTCCAGTCAGCCTGTTTTGAGAGAGAGTCTGGCTGTCCTGGAACTTGATTTGTAGACCAGGCTGGTCAAGGAACCTACAGAGATCCTCCTGTCTCTGCCTCCTGAGTGCTGGGATTAAAGGGTGCAACCCCATACCTGACCCTCTTTAACCTTTATAATATTTGGTTATCCTGTGAGACAAACGTTGTGTTTAACCATTACCTGATATGTCTTTTTGTTCTGGACACAGCTTTGCTGAGCCCCTCAGCAGTCTTACCTGTTAGTTACATGGAAAAATTAAATTGGGGCTGGAGAGGTGACTCAGCATTTAACACTTCCTGCTCTTCTGGATGACTTGGGTTCAATGCCCAGCACCCACATGATGGCTCACAACCGCCTATAACTCTAGTCCCAGGGGACCCAACTTCCTCTTCTGTCCTCGTAGGGCACCAGGCATGCACATGGTGCACAGATATACAATTAGAAGGAACACCCATGCAAATAAATAAATGAAAATTTAAAAAATAAAGATAAGCCAGGCAATGGTGACACACGCCTCTCATCCCAGCACTGGGGAGGCAATGGCAGGCGGATCTCTAAGTTCAAGGACAGCCTGGTCTACAGAGTGAGTTCCAGGACAGCCAGGGCTACACAGAGAAACCCTGTCTCGAAAAGCCAAAAATAATAATACAAAGAATTAAAAATAAAACTGCAGGTATAAATTGAGATTGTTGGGCTGAGCTGAACATGGCGAAGCAGGAGGAGGAGTAGTTCAGTCAGCCTCAGCTACACGGAGGGTTTAAGGGCAGCCTGGGCTACACAACACTGTGTAAGAACAAAAAGATAGAAAAGAAACCGTTAAGCCAGATCTGTTTTCAAAACATTAGCACCTAGGAGATCAGTTGCTTTCATGAAAAGCGCATTGGATCGTACACCTAAGTCCTTCACAGCAAAAATCAAGAGGTCATTGACCCTTATTCTGAATCATTGTTGACCTACAAGGCATATATTCTTCAACTGTGTG